GACACGTGGCACCTCGGCTGACACGTCGGCGTCACCATGCCACGTGTTGGTATTCAGAAAATATGTCCCCACACCTGGCTTTAAATAGGCCTCCCCCGCTAGTGGACGGTGGGATTGGTCCTAATGATCCAAGGATTAGCGATTAGTCGAGGTGCGTGCAAGCTGGACCGGACACCCTGAGTTATCAAAAATAGTCAATAAATTAAAATGTCACATATAACTTATAATCATTTCACTTATTTTTTCACAACCATCAAATCAATTATGAAAATTAAAAAAAAAAATACTAAAGACTCCAAAAATTCTATCAAAAATTTTACCACATGTCTTACATGAGGGTGGAACCCACATGAGACCCACACTGTGTGGGTCCCAAACCCATGTGAGATATTTGTTAGAAACTTTAGTAGAATTTTTGAGATTTCTAACATTATTAAAAAAAAAAAAATCAACCAAGTTCCAAAAAATAACTTTTTTAATCAAGTTAAAATAGTTAAAAAATTAAAAAATCAATTAAAATAATTAACTTTCCAAACAAGTCCATAAGATCTTTTCTCTTAAATTGCTCTCACACATTGGAAAGAAAATTAACTTGTATGGGGTGTTTTGGGAAGAAAATAAAAAGGCAGCTTTTAACTTTTTACTCATTTTGGGTCACATCACCTCTCACATTTTTTATTCAGAAAAAGACAAGATAGACTAAAAAAGTCAAAAAATTAATTTTTTACAAACTTTCCAAAATACTCTGTAATTTATAATTTCATGGAGCCTTACAATTGATGGGAAAAAAAATTCCCTTAAATTGCTTTAATAAACTTGGAAAGACGTCCCAAGAAAAAGGAAGAAGAGTCTTTCTCCACCCACAGCCACAACCTTAACTGCTTCTACATCTCGGACAGATCAAGAGTCCACATCTGACCCAGCCGATCTTCCATCAACTTCGGCCCCCTACTTAATACCAATTCCTGAACGTAAACGCCGACGAAGGCTTGTAAAGACTGCCGAAATGGTTCGCCCCAGGCCTGTCGTCCAGGACCTTCTCGCCGACCTTCCAACTGATGCCGAAGTTGCACCAACGTAATCAATGCTTCCACCCAAACCAAAGAGAGTTAAAAAGGCACAGCCTAAGGCCAAGGCTACAGATGCCGAAGCTGAGGATACTGTGCCTATTTCAAAGCTGGCAGAAACTAGGAAATCAGCCTCTGTCTCTACCAAGAGGTCTGCTGAGGGTCAACCCTCAGGGTCCACACAAACAAAGAGGCCAAGGTCATCGTCTGCGACGACCTCGGCTTCGAAGAAGCCCGACGTCCCCTGGGCCCCTGATCTATCTCTGGAGGACAGGCCGTTTATGGCTAGTGAGAGTGCTGACGACATTAATGTTGTTGTCGCTCTTAGCACTGCTCTCCTTCTACCGAATGACTTGGAGCGAAATGCCAATCTTAGTGAGTATGAAAATTATGCTCTTATGCTCCAACACTCTGCTCAAGTAAGTATTTTTGTTTGTATTTGTGTTTTTTCCTTCTGTTTCTTTCTGAGAAAATTTTCTGACACTTCTGTTTTCATTTAGGCTATCCAGCATGCCCATTCATTTTCGAT